TTTTATTATAATTTTTTAAATAGGCAGTTCCTTAATAAAAATGACAGCCATCCCAGACTCTGTATTACGATACCTGGGATCAAACAAGCAATGGTTTGGCTAACAGCAAAGAGTTGCAACAGGTAAGCTAAGCTAGTATGCTGTGTGATTATACACAATGAGCATCAGTTTCTACATAGATCCTAAATGTTGGTGTGTGTTTAACTCCAACTCTTGAAGAACTGTTTAAAGAGGACAGACTCACGGCCCTGAGGGAGAATTTCCACCTAAGGACACAAAGAAATGTCACAAAGAAATGTGGTAAAAGAGGTCACAGTTCTGCACAGAAATGAAAATGAAACAGTGAGCTGCCAGTTATTGTACCTGTGTTCTCATCCTGGGATAGTTCATTTCTGTAATAAACTCATCTGCCACCTTCAGGGCGACTCTCTTCTCCTCTGCATTGGCTCCATTACCTGTGCATCAATGAAGAAAGTCAATGAACCAATAAAGTATAATTTACTATTCACACAAACATGAACAAATATGTGACCCTGGAGCACAAAACCAGTCATAAGGGTCAATTTTTTAAAATTGAGATTTATACATCATCTGAAATCTGAATAAATAAGCTTTCCGTTGATGTACGGTTTGTTAGGATAGGACAATATTTGGCTGAGATACAACTATTTGAAATTCTGGAATCTGAGGGTGCAAAAAATTCTAAATACTGAGAAAATCGCCTTTAAAGTTGTCCAGATGAAGTTCTTAGCAATGCATATTACTAATCAAAAATTAAGTTTTGATATATTTACGGTAGGAAATTTACAAAATATCTTCATGGAACATGATCTTTACTTAATGATTTTTGGCATAAAATAAAAATCGATAATTTTGACCCATACAATGTTTTTTTGGCTGTTGCTACAAATATACCCCAGCGACTTAAGACTGGTTTTGTGGTCCAAGGTCACATATACACAATCACCTTTCCAAACATAGATCTTCCCATTAGATCCATTGTCCAGGATGAAGCAGTCATCTTTCTCCAGCATCTCTTGACTGAAAAGGCCTTTGTCACACAGTTTTGTCAAGGTCTT